GCACGTAAATAATAATGTCGCCACAGAAAGCGATTATCGATAATGATACATACAAGACCTCATTTGTTCTTTGTTCAATACTGAAAGTTCATTGTGGTATCTGGTTTTATTCCAAGATAGTGGTATTACAGTGATACACTGTTCATGCCTGACAATATCAGGATGCTAAATTATGTATTCATCTATAATCGTCGTACAGTCTGCTTAGCTTTGCAGTATAATAGTGTTTGCAACACCAGACGAGGTTGATGATTGTGCCGTCCATAAGTAGATGATGTACGAATTGACCGCAATGAAGAACACGGTCATAATCGTCGATATAACCTTCCATTCGTTGAAAGACCTCGGTACACGTCCACCTTTCGACGTGATGTTGTTCACGAAGTAAATACGTCGCAAATGATAGATTATAGTCGCATACGCGATAAGTACGTCACAGAAGGCGATTATCGCAGATGATACATACAAGACCTCATTTCCTGTGGCAATCTGCAACAACCCTACACAGAAGGTAGCTAAACTACTTGTCCATTGTATATAATTGAGGAAGGTACGCTCGTTCGCCATGAAAGCTTTTCCATCAGTCTTTCCATATTTCCTGCGATTCAATCCATGTCGTTTAGCCTTGCGAAAGATATTTCTAGTTTTCCCACTTGACTTCTTCAGCGGTTTCTCATTGCAGTCCACAGACTTTATTTCTACTGTGGCAAAGTCCTGCGAGGAATCATCTTTCCAATAATCAGAGTATCTGTTGCTATTGCTACCGTTGGTAGGAACATGCAAGCTAGCTGCTGGTGGCGCAAGCATACCAAGATCACGTAGTGAAATAGCGCGAGTGATATCCGCCGGCTTTGAGGTCAACTGCTCACTCCACGTTTCTACCTCTGTTTTCCACTTAGGTGATGGGTGCGCATGCATGGGAAAGAACTGTATGCAGCCGTATCCATACTTGCTTAGTTTGATTTTCCTTGCATTGCATTCCATCAGCGCAGTGTGAATCCAATCAGGACATTCAGGTCTACCACCTTCAACCATAGCCACTTTTACCTCAACAACCGTGAAGGGCATCTTCACGCCTCTACCCTGTCCCATGCCATCTGCCGCCGCAATTTCAGCCCAGCTTTGTGGTTCAGTGAACAACATTATATCTCTGTCGAGTGTGATGCGCAAGTCTTTGTTCTCTCCGGACATTAAAGAGGTCCTCAAGTACTGGGTGCGAATTTTTGGCCTCAAATTCACCATGGCTGCTTGTATGTCTCCGGCTAATTTATCCTTTGATGCATTCAACTCTTCGATCGGTGCACCAACCAGAAATCTATCCATTTCTTCCTTGGGAAGCTCCAATCTTTTCTTGTTACTGTATTTATGGACTTGCTTGTAGTTATGGTGCCTCTTGCGCTCGATGAAAAGGTCCTCGACCGGCTTTAGTGACGTTCCATACCAACGTACACGGTATAATTCGGCACCCTCGTTCTTCACTACGCGCTCCTTGAACATATTTAGGTAATCATCATCGAAATAACAGCTGTTGTTCATTTGCGAAGTTACTACTTCACCGGAGGGAAGAATGAAAGGGGAAACGGGAAGTTTGGGCTCCACACGGCCGATGAAAGCCTCCACGCTGTCATTAGGCAGCACATATTTAATACTTTTGCGTACGAACACTTGTTCTTCTTGTTCATTGTGTGGGGTAGACCCCATCTCTATAATTGCGGACATATTTACCTGTGTATGCCCAGTATTGGTTCTTTGTCAGTACGTTCGAAATTGGAAGTTAGAACGATATTGTGTGTTTTAAAAAAATAATGAACAATGTGAAGCATCTTGTTGCCGTTTTATACGGAAATAAACAATCTAGAATGGGCAGAATTTGTCTAGAAAGAGAAATAGGCATCTGCTATTTGTTGCCGAGCGATATGGTCAGTCCACCTACAAGAGGTCGTCATTGGACTTTAATTCTTTGAGACGAGACTGCCCCAGTTTTATCTTTTTTTTTATGGGACATGCCCTCCCCCATGGCCTCTGGGGGCCGGAGTCCCGGACTCATTTGTTTTAATAAAAAAGAACACTTCTCAATCGACAATTCAAGTTCCAACAGGATATTTCAATTTTTGAATACAGATTTCGGCGTTTGGAACGAGTACATTCCTATTGTCCTTGAAAGCCTTCTCTCAGTCTCTCTCTCTCTCTAGCTAGAGCCTCTTATGCTGTTTCGAAGGCTATGTCGAAACAGCAAATTCAAGTATTCAACACGGAAAACGGAATGTGACATCTGACATGTCACTAAATGATGATGGTCTCATGGCCATCTTTATTCTTTACTCATTTTAGCCACCTACCCACATGTGAAGTCAGACTTCCGGAGCCTGCCTCCGAACTTGGCGACTGGCAAGTGGCGTAGGGCCACAGGCCTGGGCTACATAGAGAGCTGCCCACGCTGCCACTTACCAGCCAGGCGCCAGCTCAGGCCTCAGCCTCACAGGAGTCACAGACTCCCAGTTAGTCAGTCACAGCTCACAACCCTAAACCCTAAAAACCCTCACACCGTCTCAGCCGGTCAGCCCTCACACTCACAGCTGGTAACAGGGCTGACTGCCTGACTCTGGGCTCAATGGGCTGCCGGCCACCTGGAAGTTTGGCACCTGGATGCTGAGAGTTGCTGATACAGATATACTAACTCTGAGTCTGCGTCTCCGACTCTCTAGTCTCTACTCTAGTTTTCTAAATAGAAATTGGAGTAGTAAAAAAAGGATTTTTCAAATGAAACAAAAAACAAAGAACTTCAGAAGAGGTTAAAAAAAATCAAGGATTCAGGGGATCACTCATCACTCATCGCTAAGCAGTTCACAATTCACATGCAACAAGTGAGGGGGATCAATGGATCATATGGAATTTGGGATTTTTCCTAAATAAAGGAAAAAATAAAAATTCCCCCACGGCTTCCAGAGACCAGAGAGAAAATTTTACTTTAAATCAATAGAGTGATTGTCTCTAGGGCAATCCCCTGGGCGTTCTAGTTAAAAAAATGATTGTTCACGAAACCAAAACTCCGAAATAGGAATCTGTGGACATACAGTCGGTCCTCGCAACTTGTCCACCTTTTTGTTGTCCACTTCGTTAGATGTCCACTATAGCAATATGATTGGTCAGTATTTTCACACAAGGCATTTCCTGCCAAACGAGCGGCCGATAATTAAAATGCAATAAAACTAATCAAACCAGAGACAGGGAATGTGAAAGTACTTGAGCTACGCCGAGAATTGCAACGTATGCAACGCGAATATATGACAGGTTAGCACAGACAAATCGAACTCAGAGCTGTTAAACCTAAGAACACAACTGAATAAACATCGATTCTATGCGGAATAAAAGTCACACATATTGAAAGAGTGTTTACAAAACGCATCTCGCTCAAAAGTAGCACTATCAATACTGAGTTAATCATGTACTGTACAGTACATAGTTAATCCACACAAAAACTTGTCGGCCAATCAGAAGGCCCCAACAGATGTCCACTTGTTAGATGTTCATATTTTAGGCTCTGACGGACTGGGACATGTAGCGAGGACTGACTGTATGAGATATGTAGTGTACCTAAAGTCAAAAACCGAAAAACGTCTACATAAACTCATTTTTTTTTAAATCCACAAAGTCGAAAATAAACTTTGCTCTCCCGCGTAAAGTAAAGAGGCATGGAGTTCAGGTGTCCAGCTGTCTCACATACTCTCATTGTGTCGGTCAGCTGTCCGGCTCTGGTACAGGCGTCAACGAGCTTAAAAAATAGGTTGTTGTGTAACCCGGGGGTTTTTTTTAAAAAGATAGATGAGGACATGAGGGTATTTAGTTGGGGTATTCTTTTATTGCAATTCCTGAGGGTCACACCCGGCATAGAAAGCCTGTGATTCTCTTTCGAGCTCATAGACATAGATATTTACTAAAACTATTTCACGGACAAATTCTCGTCGAGAGAACTCACATGTACTCGGTCCAAAGCACATTACGAGTGTCTGACATTCAACATGGTGGTGTTGTGTGGCGCACAAAACTGCGGAAGTGCGAGGATAAGCTGATAGTTACAGTGTGTTGCGCACAAGTATAAGGTAGTATATAGCTGGGCGGAAGTATTTTTACAATTGCGTACCGGAGCGTTGTCATCGTTCTTGTACTTCGATATGAACAAAATTTAACCTCGAATGTTATTGGATTGAAGAAATTTTTGAGTATTGTGTTGACAACATTTTTTACTCTATTTTTGACACCTACCAACTTTTTATGCATCACATGCTTTTCCTTTCGATCGCTAGCTTGGATCTGATCAAATGCGCGCGCAACAGCTGACTTATAAATATATAATTGCTCAACTCAGAATTTCAGACTACGTTGGCCACACGTCAACGAAATCACCCTTGTACTTTTGACCCGAAAACCCCCAGTTTAACTTTGCAATAGGTTTTTGAGACTGTGGGGGTGCTTTTATTCAACCTGGCATGGAAATGTTTCATCTTCATCTGAGCAATACTTAGGTCAACCTTTTCTAGACAACTATGATTGACCAGACGTACTAGTGTTTGGACCACTCACCTTCTGCAATATACTTTAACAAAAATCTGCAGATAATCTGCTGTTTCTATTTTATCAAATACATAGGTAGTTGCTTTACAACAGTGCGTACTTGCAGCCTTGTATTTCTATAGAAAGAGAAGAACGATCAGAATTAATTTCGATAGAAAGAGAAGAACGATCAGAATGAATATTGAAATCATTAATTTGTCTGTGACTGTGGTAAACTATGTGGTAAACTAATACAGGTCAATCAAAAATGTCGGATGATTATCAAACAAAATGATATTCTGATCGTGAATCTGATGGCGGGGGGGGGGGGGGGGCGGCGAAGGAAACATTGTTGGGAAGAGAACTGTTCATAATATGGAGTCGCCCAAACTAGGTGAACATCCACGGTGCGAAATGCAATACCATAAGCCATAGAGGGAGAAGTCTCGGACTTTGTGATGAGAACTGCGATTACCTGATTAATACAAACAGCAAAGCATTATATAGTGAGGTATCTGGAGGCGAGGTTGCTATGGAATGCGTTAAAGCTGAGATGAGGGGTAAGGAATATATCGGTAGTGATAAGGATATAGATAGAGCTACGGATGTGCGAATGCCGAACATAGAAGGGAGTGCTGCCAATCTAGACGAGGATGGCGCATGTATGAGCGAACATCACAATAACAAGGGAGGCAACAAGATCACAAGGACTGGCCTGGACGTGAACAAAGTGGAAGATGAGATAAATCACTCAAAAGACACTGCCGACGACTCAGAAACTGAAAATAGATCTATTAGAATAGGTCTCCTTATGCACTCGTAGTCGCACATTAGTTTTCTCTAATACCCTAAATAGTAGCTACTAATATGACAATATGACACGTGTCCACGTATACACGATAAAAACTATGAGACCTTTTACTTCGCACTGGAGACGAGCAGCACCACGGATTGTTGGAGCCCAAACACAACCCACGTTGTGCAGTCTCACCACTTGTCATTGATGTCACACGTAAATATGCTACAGTATCGCTATATATATTTTTAAATTAAAAAAAGGTTAATTTGTGTTCTAAATATGGCAATATAACGGTAAATATAACCAAGAGACCTGAAAACAGGTATAACCTTAGTTCGAAGGAACCTAGCCCAACAAGTCAACAACTGATGAAAACAATCAAAACATAAATATTGTTCCGCGAGATAGATGTATGTAAATATCGACAAAATATTACTGATTCCAGAATCCAGCGCCACAACAAATTAGAATTCTGAACGCATTCGGTTGTATTTAGATACATTCACTATATTATTACCAGAGACAGTCTTTCACGGGGAACATTCGCTAAAGGTGTTCTGTGAGAAATAAATATATCAACATGTCCGGCACAACGTCACTTGTTGCCTTGGGGAGTCTGTGGATAGGCACGCTCATGTTCCTGGTAGTCCTCAACGAGATATCCAAGCAGATGAACTTAGAACCCATCGATGTGATTCTCGAGCGCACGGGAGAGTCCACGCTGGAACACATTGCCAAATATACAGAAGAATCGAGGCAGATGTACCTATACCACTTAACTATAGACAGTCTATTCCCACCCTTGTACGGCTACACTATCTACTCGTCCATCTACTATCTCAAAGGTCATGTACCCACCTTCGTCACACGGTGTGTGGCATTGGGGTGTCTGGCTGACATAGTTGAGAACTGTTCTCTTCTATATCTTATCAGTCTATTCCCTGAGAGCGACAATGTGGCCGCTGAGATCTCCATCCCCGCAACTCGGGTCAAGTTTGGGGCGTTGGCTATAGGTCTGGGTGCTGTTTACTGGTACACAGGCGTGCTGATCTATCAGATCATTTTTGACCGAGAGTCCATGATTCCACAACCAGCCTCCTCGCAAGCTGGTGCAGAGAAAAAGGACGAGTAGATATGGGCATACTACAGTACTACGAATACAGGGCGTGTGTAGGAACCTATCGATTGATATATCTTGTACCAATGGAGATGGACTGGCGTACTGTCGGTGTGTGTGAGAGGGTAAGCTTGAGCTCGTGAAGGGTGGCGAACACGATTATAACGATAAAAAGCATCGGAGTGATATATGATGGCAAGTATTGACAGAAGCGTTGCAAAACTTGCAATTCAAGAGAGACTCCGATGCAGTGGCTGCTTGAGAAGCGCTGATAAACATACTTAAAATACTACTGCTTCGGGAGTTTGAGACTCTTCTACAAATGAGATGAGTGAATAAACGAAGCATAAAGATTCCTGAAAATAATCTCACACAGAACTGATACTGATCATGATACATACATGCATACATACATGCATATATATATATATATATATATATATATATATA